TTAACTCGTTGTCTCTCTACTGTTACGAAATTTACTTTCTTCTTTCGCGGTTTTTTTTTGGTTTTAAGATTTAGGTAAACGAACTTGGTAAACTACATGATGAGATTGACTCGGCGTCAAGATTACTTCCATCTTCCAGAGGTGGATCGTCTAGAGGCGGCCTTTTCGCGTTGACGTTGATTGAAGATGGTCAGAGGTAAGTTACATCCTTGCTCGAGGGCGGCCTCCCTTTCCCTGCAACCGGGCTTGCCTGATTTTCCATCTTGCTTGGAACCATCTCGATGCACCCACATATTGGACGTTGATCCACCTACAGATCCAATCGCTGCATCACAGTATTTGCATGGATAATATGTGCGCTGACCCGGATCCTATGAATTGTGGTGCGAGTGAGAGGCAATTGACAATAATCAGTATGATATAAGAGGATTGAAAGAATAGAATAGATGACTCACGTCTTTTTCTCCTTCAATGGGATCTTTGTGGTAGTATTCACGGAGAGGATAAAAAATAGGCTGCTTAGCTTTCTTCTGTTCTGGTTTGAGGACCTTATTGTTCTCGCTGTTGGAGTCTTGCACTAGATCAACCTCAAGCCGTAATGGTTCACTATTAGAAGCAGTTGAAGTGGCATCCAATTGACTGTTTGGGGCATTGGAGGATTGACGGACACGCTTTGCTGGGCGTGAAGATGAGGCTTTGGGAGGAACTTTTGCTTTGTCTTTACCTTTAGAAGTAGCTTTCGATTGAGTAGATTTGGATTGAGTAGCTTTCGGATGAGTAGATCTTGATTGAGTAGATATCGATTGAGTTTCGCTGGGTGTCTTCAGTTGACGAACGGTAACGGGCGATTGATCAGGATGATAGGTCTCGTCACCGTCAGGGTCGTCACCGTCTGACTCATCGTCACACCGTTGGCGTTTGGAAAATCCTGAAGGAGCTGGAGCGTCGAGTTCAAAGTCAGAACGGCGCATGGTACGGCGCGAGTCTAAAGGTGAGGGTAGCATGGAGGATCTTTTTTTGAGAGGGGACGGTTGGGTACTGCGACGAGACGATTGGTTTGCTAATGAAGAAGACAACATGATATGATTGGTTGTTGGAGATGAGAAGAATATAGAACTATGGTAGTAATATTAATACGAGTGAAGGATGATATTAGTACTATTACTCAAAGAAAAAGGGAGATGGTGGAAAGATGAGAGAGAAAAAGTGAGACAAACACGCTCGTTCCCAATTGGAGGCATAGACGTCCCATATAACCCCTTGCCGCATTTCCGCAGCCTTGTTTCCAGTGCCATAGTGTCATTTTGATCTCAATCTAATGCCAATGGAGGTGATGGAATGGGTCAGTTAGTGCCCAATGCAGGGAGATTTAGCATGGGAGGGGTGAAGAACCATTGGGAAAACGTACAAATGCGTCGATGCATCGGATGTGGCAAGATTCAAAGGGCAACAATACATGCCAAATACCACCGTATCTGAGTACTGATCAACCTGGGTACCGGGTATCGTACCCGGGTTCAATTACGGTACTGGATACCGTACTCTGCTTCACGATACCACACATTCAGCAGGTCTGTGGTGCCGTACCTCTCAGGCGGTTACGGTAACCCGGGTACGGTACTGGGCCAGCCGGGTACGATACGGTGTGGTACCGGTACTAGCACCGTATCTGTGGCGGCCTTGATTTCACACGGTGATAATAACAACATCACAAAGTATTTACAGTCAGTATTAAAGCCACAGATCATTCGTCTATCAAACTATTTGATATGTTGAATTTGGGACACATTTGGATGCAATAATTTTTGATTATTTTCAATAATCACAGTCAAATTGGAAAATAATCAAAGTCAAACAAAGGTGTGTTTGGGAGTGAGTTTTGTATCAAAAAAATATCAATCCCCATCCCACAAGTAGTTTTTGAGTTTCTTTTGGATGATATGAAAAAGTGAGATTATCTCTCAATAATCTCTATGTTGGACTTGTTAGAAATTACCAATCCACCTTCTGTGACATCATGAATTTGAGAAGCAAAGATTTTTTGCAACTTGTCAACATCATCCTCACCTTGAACCAATTTGAACAAAGTATCAAACACCATCACCATTCCTTCTTGTTTCATCACCATTTCTTTTATCTCTAGCATCTTACATTGCATTTTTTCATCAGAGATTAATCACAATGACTCAAGCTCAGAAGGAAGCAAGAAAAAGAAAGAATGGTAAAGCCAACTGGACCAATTCCAAATCTTCTTCATTGGATGATGGCCAGGGTGATTGTAGATTGATACTGGAGTTTGAGTCCGTGATGGACATCACGGATATTAATTCCAGTGGAACAGTAAAATGTGTGATAGATGTGAAGGAAAGTTGAGATGAGGTTGGCTTGAGGTTGGTTTGGATTTTCTACCAAACATAGTTTTGGAAAATATACCCCAGATTGAGATTATTTTGGAAAATATCAAATTCAAAAATAATCTTAATCATCCCCACTGCCAGGATTAAACACTGTCCCTAATGGAATAATGATCACTTTTGCACTAATTGCTTAGCATTTATATGGCCAAAATTAATTATCCCCAAAAAGCAACACATTATCCCAATTAGGACAGTGTTTAATCCTGGCAGTGCCCAGGGTAATGTACTGGAGGTCAAAAGGAAATTACAAGTAAAAATTGCAACCAAATGTGCCCTTACCTTGTGGGGTGTTTTGACTTCTGTACCATTTTTTTGAAGCGTTCAAAATATGTATGTAGCTTGTAAACTTCACCAATGAGAATAGTTTCTAGGAGGGTATGTCCTCAATCCCATAGACGTTTTTGACTCGGATGATGTCCAGATTTTGGATGGACACCTCGGAATGGGACAAGGCCCTCATGTCTAAGGACATTCCATTCTCATGACATATGGTGCATGTGGTTCAGGTTATGGTGTTTCATTTTACTGGGATGTCTGAGCTTTGAGGCCCAAACCAATTGATGTCTTGGGGGGATCCATTAGGACAACCACTCACCTCCAAATATCCTCCAACATACCTTGAGGCTCTCTTGTTATTTGACTAGCTCTGGGGGATGTGGTCAAGATAATTCTCACATGTTTCAGATGTTCTTGATGTCCCCTTTTGAAACATGGATATATGGTTGACCCAAAATAAAAGTGGGCAATGCTCTGTACAAGAAATTTGTCACAAGAATTGAATATCCTTTTTATCACCTGTAATATAGATGTGAGATTGGTAACAGATGGAATCTGATTTTTGGATATGACATCCAAGACACAGGGGGTTATACAGTGGGGTTTGTGGAGCATATTGGCTTGTACCCATGCAAGATGTTGGTTCCCATGACTCTACAATTGGATCTATGATATTTCTGAGATAATTAATAGTTATTGAATTTCTACTCCAGATATCCATCCTTTCCAAAACCAAAACCAAAATCACCATGAAGTATCTTCATCTAGTCATCTTATTACATGTCTATCATCACATACATTTAGTCATTGCTCAACCTTTTGAGGTTTCATCTCACTCACCCAAATTAGGGGATGACATTTTACCTGGTGTAAAGAAACAGCAAAACCTCAAAACACAAACTCCCAAAGGTCTCACATTGCTTAAAACTGTCAAAGAGGACAATCTCAAGACATCCAAGGTTTCCAGAGGAAGTATGTAAATTCAAAACCTTGTTGAAGCATTGTAGACCATGCCAGAAACTGACTCTTTCCTCACACAATCCACAGGTAGAGACACATTGAACCAGCAAGGGTATGATCATTCCCCCATATATCAATCTACCAATCAGGTGGCAAGCAAAATAATTCAGGATGACATCAACACAATAGATATGAGATATCCAGAGAGGGAGAAAGATGTGTCAGAAAGTTTTTCAAATACTCAAGAGATTGCATTTTTTGGGAAGAGAATAAAGGTCAACCCCATTCACACAATGAAAATCAATCACAGGTTAATTGAAACATCAAAGACAAATACTCTCAGGATCTCTGAGGTTTCAGAAGGAAGTATGTAAATTCAACAACCTCATCTGAATGATGTATATCTATTTTGACAGAGAACAAATCTTTTCTTATATAATGCACAGATAGAAACTCACAAGAAAAGGAAGGGTATAACCAGTCCCTTGTGAATCAATATACCAATCAGAAGAGGAAAGAGATACATCCAGATGAACCCAACACCTCACATTTGAGCTCTGAGGAGAGATCAAAGGAAGGTTCAAAAATCCATTCAATTGTTCAAGAAATGACATTATTTGGGAAAAAGATAAAAGCCAATTCATTTCATAAAATAAACATCAGGAACTTTGCTACTCACAAGATGAACAGGCTATGTATGCTTTATTCTAGGCATCTAGTTGAGGAGCTTACCTCTTCAATCATAAGTAGATTCAAGAAGGAAAAAGGCTTACAGTACCAATCAGATTTGTTTGAACAATACAACACTTCCCTCTTTGCACCATTTGTCTACTTTGTTCTGTTGAGGGACCCAAGAAAGGCTGTATGGGATTGTCTTCTGTCCACCACCACATCCATCATGGTGGAATTTCACAAACAAGAATCAAGGTTGGAAGAAGTTTGTGACACTCAAAAGCTCTACAAATTCATGCTATGGCATACAGAGATGATGTATCACCTTACCAACCCAAAGTTGCTGGATCATTTCAAAAAATATCAAGATATTCTTACACAAAGCTCAATCACTGAGATCAACAAGGGGAGATGTCCTCTTTCTGCTATTTTATCTATGATTGCAAGCAAATTGTCCTTTGAGAGACTTTTTGGGAGATCACAGGGAATGTCAAAAGTATCAGCCTCCTACCTTGAGGCCTATTGGAGAAAGGACTATGAATATAACTATCCAGTATCAGGAAATTCCAACAGTCTGCAATCATCAATTAAACAAGATTGGGACAGGATGTCCCAATTGATTCTTGAGTCTTGCACATTGGAAAATTCATTTGATTTCTTTTTAGGTCTGGCACAATTAGATTCAGATGCAACAATCATAGGTGCTGGTTCTTTGATGTCACATTTGAAGAATACTGAACATCCAAAGGGAATTGAAAATGATTTGCTTGAAGTCAAAGAAGAGCTGAATCAGGAGACTATCAGGCAGGATTTATCTGACATGAAGGACTTGAATTTTTTCCATGGGCTGAAATTTTGGATGAAACAGCATGAAAAACAGAAGATGAAGTTTTCTGATCCTTTCTGTGTGACAGCTCTGTTCAATTTCCTTCAATCCAGGAGCCCAGGAATTGATTTAGGACTGTTCTGGAAAGCTTTCCAAGAAAATGAAAGAAAAAGGAAATCTGATTGTGCACGGACAAGTGATTATTACTATAGTTTCAGAAAGTTCAAACTTTCAAAATCTAAGAAGAGTAAATTGGATGGATCTCAAAGCCAGGAAAGTTGATCGCATAAATATCATAGGCATCCAATGTCCCATTCCATGTGATTATGTTTCTTTCAAGTTGCCATAAAAAATAGCACTTATAATGTAAAATTTCATGCTCTTAACCACTTTGAGCTCTCAGAACTTGGACTATTAAATACAAATTGTGTTATACAAGGAAGGAATCCCTCTATGAATATAACCAGTCTGGAATTTTGAGAAGTGTCACTGTTGTTTTTCTCTTATATGTGTGTCTACTGATGCAAAACTAGCCAACATATGTGTTACAGGTTCCTTTGAGTAGATGATCCAGATAAACAATATCACCCTGTGTAAAAATGTGAGTCAAATAACCTTTCCTTGTAAGATTGAGGACATGCAGAGACAATGAAGACTTAGTCTTGGTGAGCAAGCAGGGGGCGCAAAATTAGATTTTGGCTCATAGGTTTTCACAACCTCAAAAACTCCCACTTCCTCTCAATCAACTCCTGTTCCCACTTCACCTGGAGCTACCTGGGTCCACTCTCTTCAAAACTGCATATTCAGATTTCTTGTATATTGATCCAAGATTTCTCAAGAAAGACAAGGATTTTTCCAAATTTTAAACCTAGTTGCATGCAACAACTGTATTTTTGAAACAAAGTCCACAAACAACCTGAATGAAAGTGAATCTCTTTCTCTTGCAAGAGGACTATTTGATTGTTGGGGGTTTGTTTCTTCTGTTGTTCTGAAGATTTTGCTCTCCTCAAAATTCATGCATTGTGCAAATTACAGAAGATGGAAGACTATACAGGAGAGAGCTATTGAGGTCCCATATTGCCCGCCAACATTACCTGATAAGTCACAAGTCCCTCTCCAGGTCGCCAAGCTTGGAAACTTTAAAAGATCTCTGCAAGAATTTGGGACTTGTGATGACTTAGCTTATGTGTGCTTGAAGAATTGTTATTCCCATATCTGTGCAATAGGTATGTGGTACATTCATTGAAATGGCATGGTAACAGGCTGATAAAAAGCCTTGAGACCTGAATTGAGTGAAAGGCTCTTGTATGCAGGGTTTGTGAATGTGCTGGATATTTAATATCTTCTTCCCTCTCTGTATGTCAAACACAGCTAAGATCAAAAGTAACTGTACATTGATCATCTCAACTTGGCTTTTTAGTGCTTATATGCATTTCTCTACACTACTGTCCCTTGGCCATAGGCAATTACCTCAATCTGTGGCAAGAACACCCTCCTTGATACAAGGTATGGTTTCAAGTTGAAGTCCCACATTACACAATTTTGTTCCTGACATTCAATATTCCATGGAGATGGTTCTGAGAGAATGATATATTTCTTGCATTTGTTTAGTCTGAGAGGACAGAATGTTTCAATACTCAGATTCCCCTCAAGTGTTATTTTCATGGATTGTGGACAGAGAACCCATTTCATCATCCATGCTGCACTGATTCACCCAGACCAAAGATTGGACCCAAACCTGGGGTCACTAAGTGAGGCCCATTCTCAGTACAAGCCTAAGTTTTTTCAGCCCTCTTAAGAAGATCTGATTACCCAGAGTGGTGTGCTCATGACAGACTTCCCCCACCAGGTAACCTTCTGATTTGATGGAAATCTGTTTCGCATGGGATCTTACTTCCTTGATCAAAGTTACTTGATCCATGTCCTATCAATATGCTGAGAAATATGCCCCAAAAGAAGACAGAAGAGAAATTTCTAGTGATCATGTTTGGTTGAGTGGCCCTGCTGCTTGCCGTCTGGCCAGGCCAAGATCTTGGCATAGACCAGAGTGTGGAGACATGTAGAGCCCCAACATTTCTATCATACATTTTTACAGTACCCTTACTTCTCAAGTTAGAGTGTCAAAAAACAATGTCTCATATGTGGTGGAATACCTAGCCCCTGAAGTATTCCTTTGAAATCAGTCACAAGACATTCTTGAAATTGGGGTTTCAAACTAAGGGGAGTGATTCATTTAGATTTCTAGATCACTTTAAGGTTTCTTATCAACCTTGAAACTTCTGTGACAACTCCAGTACATATATAATCCAGTCTGAGATCTTACAACCCATTTTTTTAATAATTTTTGATAATCCATAGACGGAGAAAATACAACAATTCCCACCATCCTATACTTTCTATAATTAGGTCAAAAATCACCATGATATTTGGATATTTGGCTATTCTACAAATATATATGTATCATTGCAGTAGTGCAGTGATTGCAGGACCCTTTGAGGCACCTTCAAATCCACTACATTTAGACAATGACCTGGGGCATTTTGGTGTTGAAGATGTGGAAGGCATGAACACACAAAATCCCACCAATCACAGACATATTCAAGACCTCAGGCCACATGTCCTAAAGATTTCTGAAAGCTCAGTAGGAGGTAAATCTGACAAACAACAATATGACACTGTATATGAAGGTTGACAAAAACAACCTCTTTGTTAACAAAACCCACAGATATAAACAAAATGGAGAAGAAGAAGTATAACCCAACCCCTATAGATTGGCAAACCAGTAAGAAAAGACAAGGGATATACCAAAACAATTGTTCAACCTCAGGACCAGGATCTGGGTCCAGTAGTAGTACTCAAACTGATTCAAAAATCCAAGAAATCACCCTATTTGGAAATATTATTCAAGCTGAATCAAATTACATGTTAGACATCAGGAAGTTCTCTACCCATAGGATGAACAGGCTCTGTGTTTATTTATCTAGGTACCTTGTCAAACAATTTACCTCTACAGTAAAAGAAAGAGTTCATAAGTCACTAAGTTGGCAAGGCATATTGAAGGCATATCAACAATTCAAAGATCCCATCTTTGCCCCATTTGTGTACTTTATCATGTTACGGGGGCTCACAAAGGATTTATGGTACCGTGTTCAGATACTATCCTCTTTCATTCTTGCTGAGTTTTATAAATTGGAATCAAAAGATGGAGATTTGATTGAACCTCAAAAGATATATCAATTCATGCTTTGGCATACAGAGATGATATATTGCCTCACCAATCCAAAATTACTTGAACATATAAAAGAGAAAGAAACAATATCTTCAAAAGATTCAAAGGAGGAGATGCATAGGGGAACCTCACCCCTTTCCAAAATTTTGTCTGCTCTTGCAAGTGAGATGCGGTTTTGGAGACTTTGTGAAAAACCAACAAGAGCATCAGAATGGGCAGCTCTTTACCTCAAGAATTATTGGAGAAAGGACTGTAGCAGCAGATATCCAGGACTACCAGAATCAAACACTCCTCCAATATCAAATGCAGAGGATTGGGAAAGAATATCTATGATCATCATGAATTCTCATACATTGAGCAAACAAAGTGAATTTAATTTATTGCTAGATGAACTGACCTATAATGAGCCCATAATGGGACCCAACTCCTTGTTTTTTTCTATTAATGTTAGTGAAGATGATATTGATTTCAATCAAGATATGAAAGAGATTACAACACAACTGGATATGTTGAAACTAAGACAAGACTTACAAGATATACAAGAATCAAACATTTATCAAGGCCTGGGAGTATGGATGGACTTGCATGCAAAAGGAGATTTGAGGTTTTCTGATCCTTTTTGTGTAACTGCTATCTACAATTTCTTAGAATCGAGGAGCCCAGGGATTGATTTGAATGTGTTCTGGAAGAATATGCAAGCACATGAAAAAAGAAGAAAGTATTACTGTGCAAAGTCCTTGAGGAATTACCGCTCATCAAAAAAGCAGAACCCCTATATGGACAAGAAATCAAAACCAGCTTGAATCTCAAATGCCATAAAAAGCATCTTGTCACAAGAAGAGTCTTGCAATGATGTCAATTTTATGATAAGTCCCAAGTCTTGTGTTTTGGTTTCTATAATTGTGTCATGCCAGAATTAAGCTGTCACATGGATAAATCCAATGGCCTGTTCAGCCCCTTCCCCCCTTTGCCTTGGATCTCTGAAGTCACATCGTCAAAAAAAGGGCTTTGAAACTAGAAGAGTTTGACTTCAACAGTTTTTCCTGTGTTTTAGTCAAAATTCTCTTGGTAACTAGTTGATCATTCTACCATAAATCATCTGCGACTGTGCATATATTTTGTTGTGTGTATTTCTTATTTCATGGAAAAGAAATATGTTGAAATGTTCAAACTTACAACATTGGAGAGTTGTTGATCCACTCTGATGCCTGTTTACATGTAGACATGGCTTCCCTCTCTCATAACATTGAATCTCATCATTAGAGATTTATCAAGTGTGGCCTTTGATAAGAAGCAAGTTGAAGTATGATATTTTGGTGAGTTAGTGCAAGAGAGAGTGAAATATAAAATTTGTGTGCTCTTGCTCAATAAGAGCTTTTGCCCATTACAACACTTAATATCAGTGGTCTATCTAAGGGCGTCTGATCTTTGCATGCTCTCATTCTCACACTTCAAAATTGGCCAAGATTTGTCTGAATGGTGTGGATCCAATTTGATAAGTTGAAATGCACTTTGCTAATCCAATGCATAATTCACCATAATTATAAGTATGTAGACAAAAATTATAACAATGAACAATGCCACAAAAACACATGGTTTAGAAACATAAATATTGATCAGCAGTGGGAAAGGTTTTGGAGTGTATACTTCAAAAAGGTTTATGCAATAATGAATTCACTTTTCACTTTTAGCAATCAAATTTATCAAGGATCATGGCATGCTGGATGAGGTGTTACTGATGATCAAAACCAAGTTCCCAAACCAGGCACGGTTAGCGGTTTGGTAGGACTCAGTAATCCAGGTCAGATGTGTTGTAAGTCTTGTTATTTTGCTATTTCCTACCTTTCTATCGCATTTACTCAGCTATTTGTTATATACAAGTAATTGCCCAGAATTAAGGCAATAATTTTTATCAAGAGTTAAATGAATTGAACCGAGTGAATCAATTGGGATTGGGAGCAACTCTGGCTCGCAGCGCTGCGCAGCACTGCCAACCGTATCTGGGGTAGCGCAGCTCATATCTGGCTTCCTCAAGGTGGGTAACTATAAGGGCAGTGAGGAAAAAAACTCAAGAAAATTAAGCAACTGATAGCGGAACATATTTCCAGCAGCGCTGCACGCAAAAAAGAAGCAAATCTTTAGGGTGAATCTTTCCATTGATCGATGTTGTATAAGATGTTGTGTATAAGGTGAAAAAACTGGTGTTGTAAGAGGACGTGAAAGAATGTAAAGAAAAGGAAATAAACTCAACTTGATTTAAATAAAAAGTTCAAAAGTGAGTCAAGACAATCCAACTGGCCAAAGCACCCAAATGATAAAGTCAAATACCTGTCACCGATGTCTTTGAAGCTGCTTGACATTCCTCAGCGAGCTTCTGAGCACGAGCAGCATTGTTTTATGAGAATTGTTTGTGATTTGATGTTTGATAAACCAATCCACTAATCTCTTATCACTTTCATTTAATAAATCAATCCTTTCCAAAAAGCTTTCAAAAGTACATTCTGACCATTCTTCAACTGGTGCTGTGTAATGACTGGGGATGTAATCCAAATACGGAATAAGCTTATAATTTCAATTGGAGAATCTAACAGCACGGCTCAAAACAGGTCTCTCAAAGTACAGGTTTTATCATGAGATTGGAGATGTAAAGGACAGGGAAATTTGACAGTTATTTTGATGAAGAGAACATCAAACAAGTCACAAAACATAATGTAATATATATATATGAAAGTAACAATGCAAGTCAGGTACGCCAGTCCTGTTCCAATCTCCTTCCTGATTACGAATCTATTCTTCATCTTCAGGTCCTATTCATTGTAAACTTTCTGTTCTTAGCAGTTCATGACATGTTGACACTCTTTCAACCAATCCACCCAGTCCTGATTTTTTGGTAGGTTGTGCTTCTTATCTCAGTCTGAAGGCTCCTAGATCCGCATCTTGGCTGTGTTGTGCTCTTGATTCTGCGTTGACAGGTAAACTCGTGAAAATGCTCAGAGTGCTTTCTCAACTACATTTGCGCTCATGGTCCCTTCTCCTATTCGATTTTTGGCCCCTGCCAGTTGTTGAGTGACAGTTTTTGATTCACTCAATGTTGTGGTTGCTGCCAGTGAATGAGAGGATTGAAGTTCAAGAAGCTTAGTCTCTAGTTGAGCCACTTGAGTTGATCATATTGTTTGCTTGTCCATTTGAGCTCAAGAAGCTTGTTCAGGTGATTGCCTCTTGGTTTCCAGTGTGGTCTTGTGCTAGGTAGTGATGATCTTCAAGTGATTCTTGATCTGACTGGAGGATTGAGAAGCCTTGATTGAAGAGGCATCAACTGAGTAGGAGTCAATGGAAAAGCCGTGACCTGTTGTGACTTGTCAATCAAAACCCTGGACTCAATTGGAAGACAGAGGTCAGCGTATTGGATATCACCTCTGGCAGGGTTTCCCCACATCCTTTAGTTGCTTGCTCTCCACTTTCTAAATGTTTTGTCAATTATGAGCTCAATGGCGTCTCAGCAATGCCAGATGAAACAGATAGGGAGAATCGGGGATGCTGGTTGTGCCCTGTTTGATCTGAATATTCTATCTCCGCTTTTATCACGTAAATTTTTCAGCAATTATGATCTCCTTTTCTTTTTGCTATCAGCAGTAGCAAGTGAAACACATGGAGAGAAGGCCAACCTGCTTAGCGTCCAATTTTTCACTGTGATTGAACCCCGCAACACAATGCTGTGTTTGTTTGCATCACTTCCTCAGATTTTTATCATGTTGAAGTTAAAGATGTATGGTCTGAGTCTTGCATTGTGCGGAAGCCAACTCTGACTGTGTTGGATCTAAGTATTTGATCCCCACTTTTATCACATGAATGTTTGGTTGATATGAACATTTGCTTTCCACTTTTATCACATAAATGTTCTGAAAATGAGATCACACTTCCCTGAATTCTCCAAAAAAGATTGTTGCTCTTTCAGATTCCTTCAATTGACAATTTTGGTAGTGCTCAGGTGATAAGGCTGTTTTGCTCAAATTTTTCTCTACATTGCTAGAGAATGCCCATTTCCATCTGGGATGATCATTTTTTGTGCTCAGTTTCTCAGATTAGTAGTCAAAATCAGTTCATGAGTCACTGCATACTCAGGACAGATCAGCACCTTGTCCAAAATCCCAGATCAGCAGGCTCAAGGCATGCAGCTGAGGATCAGCTGAGCAGATGGGCCATTCCTCCCCAAGGCTTCTTTGCCAAGGCCTGAGGAAGGCCTAGTTCATCTGCTCATTTCCTGTTTTGCTTGAATTCTGCTGTATATTGCTGGAGAATCCTCAGTTCCATCTTAGATGAGCATTCTGTGAGCTCAGTCTCTCAGATGAGTACTCAGAACCAGTTCATGTGTCACTGTATACTCAGAAAAGCTCAACACATTGTCCAAAAACCCAGTTCAGCAGGCCTCAAGGCATGCCGCTGGGGATCAGCTGAGATGCTGAGATGAAGTGAGCCAATGAGCCAGCCTTCCCTTAGGCTTCTTTGTTGAGGAATAATGCCTGAGGAAGGCCTAGTTAATCTGCTCAGTTCCTGTTTATCATGTAATCAGCTCACAAGCGGGAAGAAAACAGGTCAGAGGCAAACCCTTGGATGGATCTCATTCCAGGTTTCTATCTGAGGTATTGGTATGTGCTGAGAGACACCTCAGATCAAAACTTTGGAAAGATCCTGGCCAAGGTTTTAGATCTGAGTATACCTAAGATTTTTCAATGTGAGGTAGAAATGTTGGTGGTGACACACAATGGGATTTGCCTCATGTGGAGATGATTACCCATGGAGTTTGCCACTTTTTGGAAATACAGGTAACAACAGGGTGAGGTATGTTATGTCAATGAACAATTTTGAGAAACACAGTCTCAAATTGATGGGCAGAGCCAAGTTAGGGAATCTCAAGAACCAATAAAGGACGTCTAGTTTACACCAGAGAGCCATAGAATACTGGTCCATTCAACTCCATATAAGGGCATATATGGGCATAATCCTCTTGACGCTTATATTGTTGTTGCCGCCAAAATAGGTAGGTGTCAGGCCCATGTAGAGAGAGGGCATGAAAATTGCTCTGCCTCTTGTATGCCCTTACAGAGAGACAACTGTAAGAGCAAAGTGTTTGAAATTGTTTTGGCAAATACTAGACTGACACTTTACAGTGAACCTTTTGATTGTCCACCCTCAACGCCTGACACATGGCTTAGTGTGCTTATCTCTTTTTGCTCAAGGTATTCTTCAAATGTTTAGGAAAGACATGTTTGAATCCCATTTTCATGCAGACAGTAGTACAACAAGACCTCCTCAAGGGACAGGCCTCAGTGATTTAATGTGAAATACCACTGCCTTTTTTTTCAAACTTCATTGCATCAGAAAATCAAAAACTTGTCTGAGAAATATGCCTAAATTGCAATCATCTTTTTTGGTGATTATGAGGTCTCAGTATTAGCAAACAGCTCATTCTGGTAAGTGGATACCATTTTTTTGAGCTTCATTTAATTCAATGACATTACCAATATAACATTTGGCTGACTTTGAAGTGCCTGGGTGGTACGATTGAAATTGATTGAGGGTGAGGGCACAACCTTTGTTGTCACTCTTCCGCTTGGACAACCTTAAGTCCACCCCATTGATTACCTACTGATTCAGGCATGCAGATGTGCGTGCCTCATCAAGAATCATAAATGGAATGGGTACTGCTGATCTACTATGTTGTGATGGACACCGTCCTGTCAAGTACCACTCTAGACCCAACAGCCCATCAAATGACTGTGAAATCAACATGATATGGACTGAACTCAGAAGTGTACAGGACTCTACTGAATTTCAACTGTTAACCAAGGTTGAAAGTGAAGATTGAAAGGTTTCAGCCATCACGTCTTCTTGCTCTTGGTAGGTCTGGAAATCAAATTGGAGAAGGATGTTCTGGAAAAGTGATTGAATTAAGCAGAGATGGAACCATTCCTCATCTAATCTTTAATCTACTATCTCAAATGAGAACTATGCACACAAGCACAGTGATAGACCAGAAATTTACTGTCAACTGATTGTTGTGAAATAGCACCACCAACAAAGATGCCTCAGATTGGAAAATACTTGGTATCATTGGACACAATGTCCAAGTAAATGATCCAAGGCAATCTTTGAGCACAAAGAAAGCCTCAGATGAATTCCTCGGACACGCAGTCCAAGGGGATGTATACCCGAGGATATCCTGGTTTTTGCAATCCAAGGTATCTTTGCTGGCAGGGTAGGTAGTAGAATTCACATTGTCAATAGTAATCATTCAAGTTAAAGGAAGGAAGGCTTCCTCGCTTAATCCCGTCAAGGTGCCAATACCTGATGGCATAAAAATCCGTTTCACTCACAACAGCACTTCCAGCAGTACCCACCATTGTCAAATCGTTACCAAATGACTCCTACTCACCACTCGAATTGCTATTGTGGTAGGATACCGTGTCCCATATGGATGTCAATGATCGACGAAGGAAACTTCAGACTGTCATCGAAAACTACGTAACCAATAAGACGTACCGTGTATAACACAAAACCCCTTCAAACACGCCGTCCTACCCAAAGTCCGTACATACTTGCGAGCAAGTCTCCCTTATCTTCACTTGACAGTCTATAGTCGCCACCAATACAACATCAAGCCCCATCTCAATCCCTGTTGTAGACCTTAAACCGGCTGGAATCAAATTCATCAGCCTCATGTCATCTGTTGCACGCGGTGACACCTGTCATACTTTGACATGTCAATGCGAATCCGAACACTGAATACCGCCAACAAGATGGGTACTCTGTTTGTCTCTAATCAAAAGTATGACTGACTGAACTCTGACCTACCCTTGCATCATGACCTGCGTCATTTAGGACTCTACAAGAATCAAAGCCACCCCAATCAACCGACCTCAGCAATTGTCAACAGATGTCAATATCAAACCAATTCCGCTACACTCCGTAGGTCTTACCCCATCCATGAACGGAGGATGACCACAGCAACGCGAACCATGGGATTAGCCTCTCACAAATCATCCTCCAACCACACTCGATCTACCCACTGGCGACATATAAATACAGGCACTTCACGCACCAAGAACAGGGCAGTAGTCTTCACACCATCCCTTCCGCTGGCTCCATTTCAGCTCACCAATCAAATCTTGAAGCGTTGAAGCATTGTCTTCGTTTGAATTACATATCGACTAAATGTTTGTCTTTCTCACAATGTCATCTTACAAGGTATTCAATTACTGTGTACTGATGCCTTTCATATGAAATCATATGAATCATATGAATATCTCTATCACAACTGTGTAGGAAATCAGGCGAAACCGACGTACCCACAGGTCATGGCATCTACATGACGGGTAACTTTGAAATAGAAGAAAAGGTATTTCAATTACTCTATACCAAAGTTAATAGTGTTAATTATTCATCAATCTCACCCCTAATAACATTTAGATATCCGTAGAGCAACAATGGGATTCCGAAGCCCGAACATATGTTGTATCAATCAGCTGCTCAGGAGCAGACCGCGACAAAAAGAGGCTGTATGAAATCCGAGCTACAGGATTCAGTTCATCCGACTTCATCCTAGATGAAGGTAAAATCTACTTTTTGTGTGGTAGTTTTTTTCCATCCAATACCAAGTACACCACATCAGACCTATTTTATTTTGAATCTACTCATCGAGCCCCGGTCATGTTAGCTTCTGATATGCAATTCCCACTTGAAGATACTGTTGCTGTAAGTGCATGCGGTGTAATTGTTGGAGTTGATAACATCAAAGAAGAATGCATGCAAATTTCCAAAAGCGGAAATGATCTTTGGCTACCTACCAAGATAATATCTTAACTTAAGCTTCCTGATAAGATATTATCTTAACACCTGTTGTACGTGTTCATTCATCTATGTACAGATTTGTGCTGATACCTCACATACCCATTGCTTCCAAAGGAGAAAGCTACAGCTTTCCGCTTTGAATATCGCATCCGCCCTTTCCCACATTTTGCCGGCATACGGAAGATCCTAAAGGCAGGTCGTGAAGTGATATTTCATGGTTTCATTCACGACTTCAACAAGACTTCATTGAACTGGGTAGTTATTGTAAGTTCAAAACCTCACTTATGTTACCAATCATATATGTCATTCTCACATCCTTTGCATGTAGGTCAACAAGATATCATTGACGAATGGCTCACAGCAGGGAAAGGAACCGTTCAAGCCACGTTACTCAGTTCCAAAAGGACTCACCAGTAACACATTCAGCAAGAGAAACGAAAATGTTGTTCCTGACTCTGACAAAGATGACAAGGGCATCTCCCATCATTACATCGATAACGCTTCTACGTCAGGTAGTTCCAACGGACAAACCAAGCCCCCAAAGTACGTGTTTGATATCAGTATCCATTTTGTTCCATCATTAATGTTCCTGATGCATTTAGGTACAATCCCAATTCCCCCTCAGAGGTCAATACAAGCTTTTCATCATCAGGAAACTACGTTCTCAATTGAGGGCTCAAATCTGCTTTCAAAACACCAATAATGGAATCGTATCCAGGGTCGAACTGCATGTCCAGCCTCCCTTTCCCTCCTTCTGATTTCAATTCGTCCTCTTATCTGCCCGCTTCCAAAGCAGCCACAACTTCTCCCCCTAAGAAGCGTGCCCGGGCTACTCCCAAGAAGCGTGCCACAAGGGGCAAAACCCTAGACATATCCAATGATTAATGTATTTGATACATGTATCCATGTTTAATAGCCTAAATGTTTAAGTACTACCGAACTATTACTCATTTCATTTTATTACCTTACAAGAGCCTCTGCTCCATCTGCTATCACAAAATAAATGTCTACATACCACAATATTTCACTATGCTCTGTCATGCGCCACTGAATGTACATATAGGCTTACGTAGGCTGCAAAACAATCTTAACTGTCATTTTACTGCCGATAATTGATCAACGGTCCTCCACCTCTTCTTCTCACACCAGCCTTCCACTCAGTTTCAGTATGGAGTGCTTCACACGGTGCTTGGTTACTGTGGAACGTGCCGAAAACTCATATGGGTCAGACACACGTCCAATCGAGAATAAGTGTAATCAAAGAACAGACAAATACAACATGATTAAATCAACAGTCCTCTACTTTACAATAAGTGAGTTCCAAGAACCTCACATTCCAGTAGACCAAAATGGGATAAAATTATCAAATTATAATTAATCCTATTGTGTGCCAAGATGGACCAATGAATACACATGCCCTTATCGATTGCAGGGCATGTCAAATACTGTGAAAGGCCTTTGACCACGTTGTGGCCGGTGACATTTCATAACAGTAATGCAACAAAAAAGTATCCAATTGTGTATAAAGCCATATACCGCTGACCGGATAAGCAATACCCATAACTTTGAACAGATTACCGGTGACTCACTACCCCAACGCATATTGCTGTATCACAGTAATATATCCTCAATGCATACGAGTCGTAGCACTACACTCCTTGCCTTCCAAAAGCGAGTACCACATGCTCGATTTTACACTCCCACACGCACCACACTATCCTCGAAGTCTTTTGTGGGATTAACGACCAGCTAATGGCAAACAGGATCAACCATCACGTCTGTCCTGTCTGGCAATAGTCATTTCGACATCTGAAAACCTGTCACCTAAGAGTCACGTCACTTCAAGGATGTCATTTCATAAGCACGACACGTATATTCTAAGCTGTCTCCAGCAGCTCTTATCCGTTATCAGAGTATCTCGACACATCAGTCAAACCTCAATGCCCGAGTTTGAATTAGGACCGCCTTTCAAATTTCACTTATTCATTTGCATCAGCTTTCATACCAATGTCTACGTCAATACTTCAATAGTCCGTGTCATATCTCACCTCAGGATCACTCCTCCACCGTCTGTGAAGGGGTTCTGCTTGCCTGATAAGAATGTCAAACCAACGGTCATTACACTCAAACTATTTTTGATATCTCGACTTCTCAAGTGTATCAATATTTTACTTCAACTCCATGGCGTGAATATGCCTCCGGCTTCCGTTGCCAATGTCAGTCACCCACTAAGTCAACTGTTTATTCGAATCTTCATATACAAGCAACAGTGCGCGATCATATTATCAAGCTTGAAGTTTGTATTTGTTTTGCGAGTTCATAATGATACGTGAGTTACTATGATAAATAGATTCTTTTGTCTTTGAAGTCATCCAGTCTGATGAATGATACTGAGTACTATCGCTGACACTTGATTCTTTATCAAATATTCATATTGCTCACTTCTTAATCATTTGTTACACCTCTTATCCATCATAACCTTATCCCCACTTATACACCGTCTAATATTCATACATTTTACCTTGATTCATTATCAAAAACTGGTATCGATTGCATTGAGATGGTTGAAAGGCGGCATCCAAAGGGTCCTGCTGTTAGAAGTCAAGCGTTTGCTTCTGAAGAAAGCCTCCTCAACAGACTATGCAATGAGATTCCGCATAGCATTGGACGACCGGACGACCAGTGCGATGGCTGTGGAGCGTACCGATGGAGATTGGAACGGCGTGTCAAGGACGCCAAGTTGATACGTGCAAAGTACTCAAACTGTTGCCAGCAAGGCTTGATTGAGTTACCGCTCAAGTACTTTGCCCAAGATGTAGGACAGCCAGTACCCGATTTCTATCGCGCTCTCCTGACCGGTACAGACGATAGTAAGGATGATTTGATTCTCACTCAGTATGACCTATCTGACTTTGATTTCAGCCTCCGTTTTGTTTAGATCCAAGATTCAAAAATATAACAATGCTTTATTGTTCACCTCTCTTGGGGCAAATGTTGACAAATCTGTGGCAGGACAGCTGGGCACTTACACATTCAGGATCTCAGGCCAACTTTCCCACAACATTGGTTCCCTCATGCCAACACCTGAAGACATACCCGGTTTTGCCCAGATATTCATCTACGGTGGTGGAGGACCGGACGAGACTTTATATTGGATCCATCGCAGTCAAAACGATCTAGACCCCAATATCCTATACCTCTTTCAGCAATTTATGAATTTGCACAATCCCTATGCCCAGGTTTTCCGCTCAGCTGCTCAATTGTGCCATGCTCGCGACACTCGCACTCTCCGAATCAAGACTCTCTCGGCCCCAGGACACGACCACCGACGATACAACCGTCCTACTGTGAATGATGTTGCAGCAATTGTTGAAGGAAACGGTAATATCGGGGCCAAGGCGAGGGATATAATTCTTGAACGTCAATCTGGTGATAGGCAACGTATTTCTGAGTTACATACAGGGTATTTTGCACTCCGTTATCCTTTACTCTTTCTCTACGGGTCCCAGATGTGGGATGAGCACTACACTAATCCGACAGTGGCAAGTGAGTGATACGAGTTTCAGTCCAATTTTTTATGACTCAAGAAACAATACATTGACATTGAGATCTCATATCAGACCCCGAAGGCGACTGCTCCAACCTTGATTGGTTCGCCTACCTCCTCTTTTAGCGACCGGATTTCTTGGTCATCCCAGCCTCTTCTCGCCTCTTCCAAGAGTTTTGTGTCGATATGTATGTATGTATAGAACACTCGCGATTACAGTTTCTTTGCTTTCATCAGAACGGAATTAGGGCCAAGGTTTATAACGGCGCCGTCGAGGCACTAGGCAATGAGGCCGAGGACAAGGTAGTTGGGCGACATATAGTTTTACCCTCATCTTTCATTGGAGGTCCCCGACACATGCAACAACTCTACCAGGATGCGATGAGCCTGGTGGCAGAGTTTGGTCACCCCAGTCTCTTCATCACAATGACTGCTAACCCTGACTGGGACGAAATTCAAGATGCTCTTGAAGAAGGTCAAACGGCTCAAGACCGACCGGATCTGGTGGCACGTGTATTTTATATGAAGTACCATGAAATGTTGCATGACGTAACAAAGTATGAGAGGTTTGGCAAGTTTGTGGCTTATGTTTATACCATAGAGTTTCAGAAGCGTGGCCTTCCACACGCACACTTGATTTTGTTTCTGGAACCCAACGATCGCCCTACAACCTCAGAGCAAGTCGACCTACTTATCAGCGCCCAGCTTCCTGACCCAATAACCAAACCTGGAATATTCAGTGCTGTTACTAGATTCATGCTCCATGGCCCGTGTAAAGACTACAAGTGCTGGGACGGTACCAAGTGTCGCATTGGATACCCGCGTCCGTACCTAGAAGAAACTCAGCTGCCTCAAGATTCTTACCCAACGTACAAGCGCCCCAATGACGGACGCTATTTCATCAAGGGCGACCATTGATACAACAATCGGAACGTTGTACCTCACAATCGATACCTCCTACTGAAATACAAGTGTCATATCAATGTTGAGGTTGCGGCAAGTATTAGAGCTATTAAGTATCTTTTCAAGTATATTCTCAAGGGCCACGATCGAACATTGGCAGGTGTGCAAGACCAGGACCAGAACGACGAGATATTAGCTTTTGTCAACGCTCGATACCTCTCTGCTTGCGAAGGTAAGATTTATTTATTTTGACCATCATGCATGTAGGTGTATGTAACTGACTTCATCTTGATGCCCTATGCAATCAGCGGTCTGGCGTCTATTGAGATACCCGTTATCAGGCCGTTATCCCCCAGTCCAACGGCTGAGCCTTCATCTCGAGGACAGCCAGACTGTGTACTTTGTCGACCAGGCAGGCCTACGACGTTTGCTAGACACTGGACGTGCTGAAAGAACATCACTCACTGAGTTCTTTCAACTATGCCGCGAGGATGCGCCCCTTTGAGGTAGAAATGACACCATCAGGAACTTGAAATACCATGAGGTTCCAAAGTACTTCGTATGGAATGACAAGACCAGAAGACTCACACCTCGCCAGAATTCTTTGATATCAATCGGCCGTGTATATTTTGCGAACGTCAAACGTGGTGATGTCTACTATCTTCGTCTTCTATTATCCCATATCCCAGGTCCTACCTCTTTTTCTTATCTGCGGACCATCAATGGTGTGCTTCTCAGCTCTTTCCGTGAAGCGGCAGACAGACTGGGACTCCTGCTTGGTGATCATCATTACCGCCAAAGTCTCACTGAGGCAGCGGTCTGGCAAACTGGTCGTCAACTGCGCCATATGTTCGCAATCATACTATGCCACAGTCCACCTGCAAATCCTTTAGCGCTTTGGACTCAACACGCTGGCAACCTATCTGACGACTGCGAGCGTGAGATACGTCGCCTCAATCCACACATTCAACCGACACAGGCTCAGATTGTGAATTACGGTCTTTATTTACTTGAAATAGTGTTGCTTCAGATGGATTCTAATTTGGAAGCCGTAGGCTTACAGCCCGTCAATCAGGCGCTGCTTATTGATGGGGCGCGAGATTTTCCCGACCATCGTTTTGCGGACCATAAGCACCGCAAAACTGGATGGCTGTACAAATACATTTTCCCCAGACAATCTTTAATTTTACGGCACTTATTTTTTTTCGAATGTCTGGGAAAAAAACCGTTGTAAAACGTACACCTGAAAATTACATACATGTACCTACATACACGAATATTACATACAAAACTTTCCCACCAATGTCGTTCGGAAATCATATCCACCCGAAATTTAAAACATTCACCTCCATTGTCCATTTTTGCAGTGCCACCCTTGCAGAGATCACAATCACTCGCAACTGAACCATCAGGGAATTCAACAACCAACACCCCA